CCCCAAAACCCCAAAACCCCAAAACCCCAAAACCCCATGGCATTAGAATAAGTGAAGATAATGAAAATGGATATCTGGATATCTAGAGTTTATTATATATTTAATAGTAGTAATTGATATAAGCAAGACAGTATTACAAAATCAAATACAATGAAGAAAATTACTTGTTCCCTATTATTTACAACTCTCGCCTTAGCAGATAAGAGTTGCAGATTTGCACCAACATTCGATACCTCAAATATCGCTACAAATCAAACTGCTAGATAACTATTTGTTCAAAAAGTTCTAGAAATTGAGGGTAAATTTATGAGAGAAATCGGATATGATCACGAAACAGGACTGACTCAAAAGAAAATTATTCTCGACTCAAGAACTGGTGTCCCCAAGACTCAAGCTGAGTTCGGATCATCAGTCGTTTCAGAAGCTTATCAACTAGCCATTATTGCGAAAGCTCTTAATGGAGAAGTTGATGCTCTTTCCATTTATCCAGAAAATGAGGCTTTATCAGTTCTAGCAAAGAAAATGAAGACTCTTGATTCATATAGACTCAACCAATTGATGAGTGAATCAAAGGATGAAAAAGATTCTCACAAATTCTTTATCGCTCTACAAACTGTAAAGGAGGTAGTTGCTAATAAATATCCATAGCAAACTGATATCCAAAGGCAATTATAAAATGTCATCCAAACTTTAATGGATCCAAATAACCAATCAAACAACTCTCTTAACTTTAAACCTCTTTTGGGAGAAATAGTTAGATACTATCTTACAGAACAAAATTTATTAGATATCACTGAGTCAACTCTATTTTTGCCATTACTAGATAATGATTCTCTCAAGTAAAAGTAAATAGATATGCTTCAAAAGTAAATGTCCACAAGTGTCCAAGATATGTCTACCCAAAGAATAGATCTAGTGTCACTATTCTAAATTGATGAAAAAACCGCATCAGCATGGCTTCACAATACTTTACTAGTGCCAGCTACACAAACACTCTATGGTGTAGCAGATCTTACAACAAATGATGATATCCCAACTTTGAGCTGGGAAACTAAAGGTCCAATGATCTTATCAATGCTTGGAGGACTCTAAGATATTGTTAGATAGACTCTTAAATCAAATAATCTCTATGATGAATTCTTAAGCAAACTTCCAAAATTAGAAGTTCAACCAAAGTAGCTATAAGACTTCAATATTCCAACAAAGATTGGCTTTAGTATGAAGCAAGACTTCACCTCTTGCAGACTTATGGATTTCCCAGCTGACTTTGCTTTTGGAACTGCTACAGCTGCTTTCCAAGTTGAGGGAGCCTCAAAGACTGATAATAGAGGTCCTAGCATTTGGGATGACTTCTGTGCTATCCCAGGGAGAATAGCAAATGGAGACACTGGTGAAGTTGCTGATGATTTCTATCACAAATATTAACAAGACATTCTCATGATGAAAAATCTTGGAGTGAAGCACTTCAGATTGTCTTTCTCTTGGTCAAGAATACTTCCAACTGGAACCATTGATAATGTGAATCAGAAGGGAATAGACTTCTATAACAATGTCCTTGATGCTCTCATCGCTGCAGGAATTTAACCATGGGTTACCCTTTTCCATTGGGACTTGCCATCAGCCCTTCAAGGTAAAGGATCAACTGATGCATGGTTAGGAGATAAAATAATTAACCAATTCAATGATTATGCTGATCTCTGCTTCAAAACTTTCGGTCCCAAAGTAAAGAGATGGTTAACTTTCAACGAACCATGGACCTTCACATGGCTCGGATATGGAACTGGTGGTAACGCACCTGGCAGATGTACTCAAGGGGGCTACAGAAATGATTGTCAGACAGTTGGTGGAGGTGGTGACTCAGGCAAAGAGCCATATATCGTCACTCATAATGTCATTTTGTCTCATGCTACTGCTGTTAAAACCTATAGAGATAAATATCAAAAGGATCAAGGTGGTCAAATCGGTTGGACTCTTAACACAGATTTCGCAGAGCCATATGATCCATCAAATCCAGACGATGTTAAGGCTGTAGACACCAAAGTAGCTTTCGAATTTGCTTGGTATATGGATCCAATCGTCTTCGGTAAATATCCAGATGTTATGGTTGCTTAAATCGACAATAATAGACTCCCAACTTTCACAGCAGATTAGCAGAAACTTATTATGGGAAGTTATGATTTCATTGGAATTAACCATTATACTTCAACATATGCAAAAGCAGTTGTAACTATAGATACTGATTGGAGCTCTGATTCAAAGGTTTGGTCTACTGCAACTGGTCCAGATGGTAAACTTATAGGGCCTTAAGCTCAATCCCCTTGGCTTTTTGTTTATCCACCAGGAATTAGAAAGTTAATGAAGTGGGTTGATGCTAGATATAGTACTCAATAAAAAAAGCAATAACTTATTGTTTTCGAGAATGGAGTCAGTGTTCCAGGTGAAACTGAAATGACAATCGCTCAAGCGGTTCATGATGATTTCAGAGTAAATTTTTACAAAGGATATATTCAAAACTTGAGAGACGCCATTACTCTTGATGGAGTTGATGTAGTTGGATATTTTGCATGGTCACTTATGGATAACTTTGAATGGGATGATGGATATAATGTCAGATTTGGAATGGTTTATGTTGATTACAAGAATAATCAAGCTAGATATGTTAAGGATTCCATTCTTTGGTATTCTCAGTTCATGCAAACTCAAGATTTTAATGCTGTTTATCACAACCCATATGATGATATGATCAAGAATCAAACACATTAACCAACTATCAATCACTAGAAATTCCTTGAAATTCAATGATCAAGCAAGTTTCTTAAACTATCTTTCTTCAATATTAAATTTGATTTTATCAATCTGATTTAATAACAAATTTCTATACATTCACTAGTTGGGGTTTTGGGGTTTTGGGGTTTTGGGG